CTTAATGATACTGATCAATATTCTGTATATATTTTCTATGTTTGTAAATACTGTACATTTATTGTAATATAATATTTTATTAATGATTTATGGATTTCGCGAAACCGAAAACAACATTATTATTATTATTTTAATGAAGTTTTTGTTTTCTTTAATGATATTTAACTGATTCGTAAGTTAATTATTTCCACAAAACTTAGTAATATTTCAAAGAATATTTTCCAACAGAATATTCTTTGTGTTACTACTTTATTTTTATAGCTATTTTATATTCATTATTTAATTAGACTGTAGTAAATGACATTTTCATTTAATATAATACTAACTTGTAAATTATCAATAAATTATCGAAAACACATTATACAAAATAAACGGTATTATAAAATTACATTTGAAATAGTTTTACTCAGGAGATTTACAATTTAAAACTTAACCAAAAAATAAAATTACCCCTAGTACAGTATTTTCATTCTATGCTTATTAATGCCCATTTAAAATAGGACAAAGTACTTTTATCCCACTTAAATATACTAACTATTTTAAATAGTTTGATATGTTGATAAATGATTTCTCTAATGATTTCTGATAACTTATGAAAATTTATGTAAATATAGAAATGCAAAATCAATACTGTACACTATTTAAATACAGACTAGTGTTATGTTGAACTATTATATTAAAAATGTTTAATAAAATTTATTTTAAAAATTAATTGTTATTATGAATAAATATTAAGTATTATTATCTTTTTATTTTAGTCTATTTATAATAAATAATTCATTTATGCATCGATTGTCATAAACTTAACGATTATATCAATTTGTTGTACACTTTATGGGAAACAAGTTATACACAGGAATTAAAAACGATTATCTTATAATTAAATTATGCACTATTTGTTCCGCTTTAATGGCTAATTGTTTCTTGATTATATTTTGTCAATATAGTTCATCACATGTTACAGTGAATCTCACATATGGTGTACAAAAGTAGATACAATCTACTCAAGCTATTTAGAAAATTTTAAAATAATTACATATTTCAGTTAATTGTACCCTGTTTATGATAAATTACTTTTGATATTTTGTACAAATATCGAGGTTTTAATGTAGTAGACTGAATAATTATAATACACGATTTGAAAATCAATTTATGACTAATAAGTAACCTATTGATTTATTATTGGATTTATTGATTTCATGATTGATTAAACACTTGAACATTGAACTTACTATTATGATAATTTATAAATAATATCAAAGCATATTAAATGTAAATGCTATTTTAATAAAATGAACAAAATAGGTAAAAGTTTAATAGATTCATTAAAATTATATATATATTCAGTAAAAAAAAATAATTCTTAAAGAATAATTAAAAATGACTGTTCAACAAAATAATTGCTGTCATTTTAGCCAATCCTTAATCCACACCCCATATCCCATGGATTAACAAATAAATATAAATTATTCCCTAATTATTTATAATAGATTTAGCGAACAATTATCCGTAACATAATTTTCGTGATTTTCAATTTCATTATCAATACTTATTATGTACAGTATTATGTTTTCAAAACACAAATGCTATAAAACTAAAAACAGTTTGAAAACTTAATTCATAAATACATGAAACACCTGTCAGAGAAACAAAACAACTGATAACATATTAAATTAAAAGTGAAATTTTAAAATTCATTTAGTTTTTCGATTTATTGTGAGTTAAGACATGTTGTAAAAGTTTCCTGTTTTAAGCAAATATTTCTATTTATTTGTTATGATTTGTTATAAAAAGTATTTAATCAGTTCACAATGGTGTGATTATTAAGTGTTAATTTTATATGCAAAACAAATAAAATCTATTAAATTACAAAAATATTTGAAAGGTGATATAATAATTCACAAATGAGTTATCCTTGAAATCTCTATTTTGCTATATTTCTGGTGAAATGACGTAAACCTATAATACAATTGTTCCCTAAATCTGTTTAAATATTATTAATATCCGTTAATCTCATGTAATGGAAGGAAATGTAAGTTATAATATATTGGATTAAGGTTACTATTAATACAAACTAATCCAGTGCACTAAAATATTTTGAATAATAATTTAACCATAATACAATAACAAAATTACTGAATAATTCATATGTAAATACTGTAAACGTATAATATAAAATACTGTATAACACTACATTAATACTGACATACAGTATTATATTATAATAATTATAATACAGTAGTAACAAACTAAAATATTAAAAATTATCCACTTTATGCATAATTATTACAGATATCTAAACTAGGAATTATAGTATTAGTATATTTTCTTGAAATAATTAATTTAAATATATTAATACTTAACATTAGATAATTATTTTCAACAGATATATAATAATTTACGTTGAATACAAATTATAACAAGGCAAAGAATATTCAATAAGAAATTACTTAACATAAAAAATTAGCAAATATTACATACTGTGCATTTGATTACATACAGTGTCATACACTAATTACTGTATATCCCAAACTACTCCCCCGTTATTTAAAAGTAAACCAATTACTACTATCTCTGAAAGTCTTACTTCAATTGACATGTTTTCATAATATTTCACAAAATACTAATTGTCTGTAAAACGGATAAAACGAGTGTTTTGCGTGTATTTTCAGTTAAGGTTTTTATTATTTATTGTAAAATAGTCACAAATATACAAAACTCCTATGTTGTAATTAATATTGTTTTAACCATTTACACAAAAAACATTTTACGTATTTAACTTATTATAACGTTTATTATAACGATAATTCATTGTATTTCTTATTATCATTTTATATAATACAATATCAATATCTGGGATAAAACTCGATGCAACCTTTAATAAATAAAATTCCCATAAAATGATTAATCGTTTTTTAAATATAGCATTTATAAAGAATCACGATAAAGGGTTAAAAATAACATAAATTTAATTCAAATTATATATTATGTTCACAAAAATGTCACCTTAATTATTCAAAACACTACTTAATTTGGAAGTTGTATATAGTTTGACACAACAGTTATCAAGGTGGTTTAAGTTTTCTAACATTATTTAATATTAAATGTACTTTTTCAAATATTGATTCTTAAATATAAAACATTGTGTTTAACTTTTGTTTTTGAAACTTATTAAATAAACTCACTATAATGTATCTTAAATAACCAAGTATATTTTGGTTGACTTGAGTATTATATAATTTGTGAATCAATTAAATGCGAGCAATAAATATCAGGCAAACAATTACTTTCAAAGTTAAGGTCAAATAATTCGCTTAAAACTCATATTATGCCCAAATGTTTGCTGCCATTAGACTCTCATAGACTTAACGTTAATGTTAATGATTGATGAGAATTATACTGTACTCACAATTATTGTCAGGTTTTCCGTATATAATTCACTATTCATTTATTGCCAATAATTGTATTGATTACCAGGGTCATTATAGCTTGTTTGCAGATTTTAGTGTTAACACATTATTTATATAATATTCTCATATGTTTTGAGTGAAATAAATTTCTAAACTAGTTAAAAAGTTTATTAATATAAGATTATATTAATTTTTTAATCCCAGATCCCTTGGCTGTGCCTACCGTTCCGATCCATAGACCACTTACTTTAAACAATATATAATAATATAGTTTAGAAATAAGTAACGCATCAGTGAAGTAAGTCACTTTTCAGACATACCTGTGCCGTAAAGTTTTTGGCATAAATCATACCTACAGTGTAGGTCTGGTAAATACAACTGACCAGGCTTACGGCTAGCACCTGGGAGTAACTCCCACAATCCATTATAATATAAAATACTTCATTTTGTGTTATATTAAAATATCATTAGTTCTCACAATTTGTTAATCAAATAAAAGTTTTCAAACATTTGAGCCCTGGGTTAATGTATCAGTGCTTAGACTGTAGGCAATATTATGTCAAATAATACAATATTTTCGTGTCTAAGCAAAAAAATATTGTCTTTTCTCTGAACACAATTTGAGATATAATTTGAAGCAAACATTTGAGAGTCTGTTCGCGGAGTTCACGCAAACCTTTTCGTGTGTTTTGGTGTTTCGCAAAAACATAAGGCTTTTCAAAGAGATATCATATTGTTTTGACACTAAATATAAAGTTTTTTGTCTCCTATTTTGGTCGGTCGGTGACAATCAGATGACTTTATTTTGTGTCGTTTACAAAGTCTGTGGTCTCTCTCAGTCTATAGACAAACAATTTTAACATTCAAAGTGTTTCACGAAAATATTTCGTAGCTTTTATTTTTGTGAATTATTTATTTCCCTGTCTTTTATTTGTTTTTGTTTTCTAAAATAATTACTTTTGACAACATAATAAATTGTATCAAAAATATATTTACTAATAGTTACAACAATAATTGACTTGTGAATACTTTTTGATTTAATTTGTAAATATAAATTGTTAAAATCTGTGAACAAATTTGTTTCGGAATAATAAATATAACTTATAAACAATTTTAAATAATCAGTTTTTAGTTTGTATTTTTTAATAACATATTATTTGTGACAAAATGATGAGCGGAAAGAGAAAAGTTTGCAAACATTTAATTTTTAATTTAATTTAATCTGAATATTAATTGTGAACATCATTTATACAGTCATAAAAATTATAATAATTTTATATTTAATTTTTAAATAACAAAATTATTTTTAAAATTAAATACAATCTATTAATCTCTCCCATAATAACAGCGCGAATGTCTATCCATACACGTGGGACAGGCGGGCGTCCAGATGGGGAACGCCTGTTGGGAACTGTATTGTCTGGAGCACGGCATCCAACCGGACGGACAGATGCCGTCCGACAAGACGGTGGGCAGTGGCGACGACTCGTTCAACACGTTTTTCTCGGAGACGGGAAGTGGTAAACACGTGCCCCGGGCTGTGTTCGTGGACCTGGAGCCTACCGTCGTGGACGAGGTGCGCACCGGTACCTATCGGCAACTGTTTCACCCGGAACAGCTTATAACAGGCAAGGAGGACGCGGCCAATAATTATGCTCGGGGTCACTACACCATCGGCAAAGAGATTGTTGATCTGGTGATGGATAGGATCCGCAAACTGGCCGACCGGTGCTCCGGACTCCAGGGTTTCCTAATTTTCCATTCATTCGGCGGCGGCACCGGTAGTGGATTCACTTCCCTATTGATGGAGAGGCTGTCCGTAGATTACGGCAAGAAAGCCAAACTGGAGTTCAGTATATATCCGGCGCCTCAGGTCTGACCATTCATT